AAAAAAAAATCACAACATAGCTGTGTACGGAAAAAATTAACATAACACAAATGAATGGGAAGACTTTTTCTTAACACATGTAAAGTTTGGTGTTAACTGAATTCATTTTAAGCCTTCAACGGAGCTTGGGTTTTGCAGTGAATTTTGGACAATTTGCCAGGCGGAAAACCGCACTTAAACCGCGTTTTCAAATTTTGGCAAATTTCTGAAAAATTAACACTCGTCGGAACTTTTAAACTTGATTTTTGAAAACAGTTTACCAAAGGGTATCGTTGGGCAAAATATGAGCAATTTACCAAAATGGTCCCTGACGAACGATTCTCGATCCTAATGGGCGGCCATTCTTAATTGATATTTTTCATTACCAAATACCATGATCGTGTGATGCCACCACATGTGGGGTGCAATTATCCGTCTCGTCTCTCTGTCCGTTAACCAACCACGGATTGGCGACTAACTTTTACAAACTTTGCGACTAGCTGAATTAGGTAATGGTTATTAGAAATGTAAAACCAGAATGTCTTATGTGGAATGCGTCACAATCGCCCCGAGATGATTATCGTCAACTAGTGACTGCCAAGAGGATTCATTGACTTTAAGCTCTCATTTGTTTTACCCAGTGTTAAATCGTTTGACACACGCACGTTTTGGAGCGCGGCTTCTTCAAAAGGATAGCTATTTTAAGCTCAAATTTAGAGAACAAAATACTAAAACAATGGATCGGATACTTTTTTTCAGAGACTACAAAAAGGTGAGAGATTGAATTCCAAGCGACTGCATGTTCAGACATTCGGGAAAGTGCTCGATAATATTCCGGAATATGATATTTTTTGCTCCGTGACAAACTAAGTTTAGCACATCCAAAATGCAGCAAGCCCTCGCTAAAGATCTGTTCAGTGTTTCTTAGACTCAACTTTTAAGCGGGTCTTAGTTCAGACCCACTCAGAAAAGAGTTCCATTTCTATACCAAACAATATCGGCTAATTATTGCTTAAAACTAAACTGGATAAAATCTGGATAAAATGAACTTTCTCTCTTTAAGCGAAATTTAAGCCAAAAGCTGGTAGTGTTAGTTTATCTTGGCAGCAGCTGTACAAACTTGTTTACAATGCAATTGGATTATTATAAGATACAATACTGCTTTTCAAGTTTATGAGTTCGCGAGAGGTATTGCGCATAACATCGTCCAACTGTGGCAAGACAGAAACATACCCCATTAAGGTATCATGTATTGCTTTGATCGTTTTTTATCTCCCTCATGCAAAAATAGTAACGACTTACAACCAGCTCGTATAATGCAAGCATTTCTTCTTACCAGTCATACATAGCGAGCATAAATGTAATATGGAAAAGAAACTTGACAACAGCACTTGTCAAATAAAACTGAACAAATAAAAGTGATATGTAAGTGAAGATATGTGAGGTAACAAAACAATAGAGAAATGTTTTTATCTTTATTGGTTTTCTTCCTATAAGGTGAAATAACAGCTGCAGTCTAGTTAGTTATACCAAACAGTCAAACTCGCTGCTGGGTCGATCGACTGATTCCTTTTCGTCATTCGTGCGATACAAATTTTGACGGATACACCACCCACAACGCGTACGTGGGAATTGTCACTCTGCCATGGCGAAAATCTCATTGTAACGCAGAGATTAGAATGAGTCGATTCGCGCCAAACCCTATCCGCTATTTCCACTTGTCATTTTTAATTTTGAATTGCTTAATGAAGAGAGGCTGTGTCGAAATGCAAAATAATTCTAATGGTGATCTTTGGCCTATGATATCTAGTAAGTTGTTCTCAGTATAATGCTAATTCTTATTGGTTTCGATTTTAGATTGCAAAGTGATCTCCCCAGGTAGTCATGACGTTTCGCTTTCGTTTTCCATCCTTGATGAGAGAAGCTGTAGCTGAGTTCGCTGCTACCTTCATCGTATTGGTGAGTGTTTCATGAAGCAGATAAAGTAAAGGGTCATGATATTTCCACTGTATGGGTTATCTTAAGACGGCCAGCGCTCTGAAGAGGAGGAAAACGTTTCCCTCTACTCGGTCCCTCGCAAAATATGTGTGTGAGCGCAAAATATTTCTACTGCCAGTACTTTCGAATGATCATTGCTTTCGGAAGTAAACAGAATTTTATTTTGTAGACTTTTGGAATTGGATCAGTGGCGCAGATGGTTCTCAGCAATTGGAAGTTTGGAACTTTCTTCTCCGTCAACTTTGGTTGGGGAATTGGTGTTACCCTTGGCTGCTACTGGGCTGGTGGAATTTCAGGTGTGCTATTGGGGTTTAATCTTAAGTAGGTATCAATGTCTTAGAAGGACCCAACGATAGTGCAAAACAGGTTTCAAACACCTTTTCTCTGGGGCACGTCGAACTCGGTCTTTACAAGTACACCATTTTTCTTTTTACCTTTAGTTGGGCGAATGATCCGGGAATCGCTCATTTATTTAATTGGCTTTCTCGCTCATGTTGGACCACGTTTCTGAAGGCATGATTAATTAACGTGTTTTCATCATTTGTAGGCGCTCACATGAACCCCGCGGTCACATTGGCCTTTGCTGTTGTCGGCAGACTCCCTTGGAAGAAGATTCCCGTGTACTGGTTTGCACAGACGGGGGGAGCATTCGTTGCTTCGGCTTGTGTTTATGGAGTCTATTACGGTGGGTTACCTGTAAGGACCACTCACAGTACTTATACTTACTGTATTATTTTAAACAATGTGAGATAATTTTCAAAATGTTTGCTTGATACCGATGAACTTTATGTAGGAACACTTTCACCCGAAGAGTAGTGAATCGTCTTGATCTGTCGTTTGCCTCAGTTCGGGTGATAACTGAAGCTTGTATTTCACGAATTTTTTTTCTCACGCCCATAGAATCTTAAAACCAGGAGGCAGTGACTTAAGGCATATTAAGCATCTTGCTAAAAGACAGTTTGTTTGTTTGTTTTGTTTTTGATCGTTGTTTATTCATATGCCTGACTGTTTGTGACCTCATAGATGCGTTGAATGCGTTTGACGGAGGCGTCCGTCAGATACTGGGTGCCAATGGAACTGCGGGGATCTGGGCAACCTATCCCCAATCCTTCTTGTCTACCTGGAATGGACTAGGAGACCAGGTAAATCTCATTTGATATGTTTCGTAGGAAGAAGCCAATTCAACCAGAGGAAAAAAGTCATCTTTAATAACAATAATCATGAACAACAAAAACAAGGAAAAGGGCGACAAACAATTTTACTTTCAAATTAAAGTTAACATTTTGGCTGTAAGGGTTTAGAATCATGAGCATAGGTGATATTATTTGCATCGTCATTGCAGTATAACCCTAAAATGATAACCATGTTTCCCGAGAGTAGATGCGGGAGAGAATGACGTATTGTTGCCTTTTTTGGAATATTTATCCGATTATTGTAAGTTTCCCATTTTAAGTAAAACGACCCTTTTTCTTGATTCCTTTACAAAAGTAAAGAATTAAACAACAGGCAATGATAAAATCGTTCCTCTACGTAAAGACGATTAGAAAATATAAACGTCCAAAGGAGAATTTAAACAAAACGATGTTTTCACGTTCATAATCCTCTCTGGACCAATTCTCGTCCCAATCATGTCACTGCTTGAAATTCTGCTAAAAAGGAAACTTTATTGCTTGTTAATTCCTCATTCAACTCTGTTAGGTATTTGCCACGGCCCTGCTGGTCGGTTGCATCTTCGCCATCGTTGATAAGAACAACAATGCCCCCGACCAGGGGGTCGCACCGGTTGTGATTGGTCTAGTCGTATTTGTGATTGGCGCCACCTTCGGATTTAATTGCGGATACGCCATCAACCCCGCTAGGGATCTAGGACCAAGGCTATTTACAGCAGTGGCTGGCTGGGGTACTGAGGTATTCACGTGAGTTTCACGTTTTTGTTTTAAATTCCATCAGCGAAGATTCGAGGGAAGACATTCGGAGCCACGATGAACAGCTTTAAAAGTATACCAATCGGTCTCTGACGATGTCATTACTCTACTTGGGCTCATTAGTATTGTTTGCGACAACTTTTGCGATTCAAACAGTAACAAAAGCATTATCAGTTTTTTCTTTTCAACCTTGAAATCTTGGTGAAAACACTTTCCCATGTTAAGGGTAATCTGCCAAGTTTTTTGTGCCTTTCCTTTTCTCTGCTCTCGTGCGTTACTGCTCATAACCGCATGTTGCCGCAGCCGTTTTTGAAAGATTACTTTCTTCCAAGACTGATTTAAATAGCGAGACGACAAACGCGATCTTGGAGCCTTATCATTACTGATCATATGAAATGAATAATAACATTTTCATTTCAGCGTTGCCAACAATTGGTCATGGGTACCAGTGGTGGGAAGTCTGCTGGGCGGAGTCTTGGGTGCTCTGGTTTATATTGTCCTCATCGCAATACACCACGTTCCAGAAGATGATGGCGAGACTGGGTACGACCTTCACACCGTCGTTTCAACTAATCCTGATATTACAAAGGCTTAAGGAAATGGTCTGGGTACGGGTAACATGGCCTTTACTGAGGATAGTATGCGCCCACTTTCGAATCAGGGTCCTACGATGGGTGCGGTTGAAAAGACATCCCAGCTATAATTGTTTAAGGAATTGTTGCTATGTTTTTGACTTGGCCTCTCTGGGCACCTTGGCTTTACATTTTGAGAACTGCTGCATGCATAGAATAAATTTAAGTGATTCTTAAAACACAAAAAAGTGTCACTCGATGTCAAACTTTGTCGCTCTATAATCGCTACTTGATTATGATGTATGCTATGCATTTAAAATGATTTTTTTAATTGGTAAATCCAAATTTGCAAGGATTAAAAGAAGTACATTGCCACTTTAAAAATAAATAAGTAGATAAAAAATAAATAAATAATTAAAAAAACACAATCAACTCAATAAGGGCCTGTTTGCATGAAAACGGGGGACCCCAGGCGGGTGAGGTAACCCCCCCCTCCCACAAGGTTGAGCCTGCAGTTCCCGAACAGCGACTGGTGATCGAACCCATAGTTCAAACAGACTCTCTTTTCTCTTACTAAAATAGTTGGTTCATTGTGTTTCTTACTTTTTTTTTCTTCTTTTTTTTTTCCCCTCTTTTTCTTTTTTCGCTTTTTATCTTTCTTTAGTTCCGTTCGAGTCCGGTGAGTTAGAAGAGAGAGTTAGCAAGGTTGAGAGCCATACGAACAGAGAAGTTTTCTTTCATTCCAACAGTATCAAATTATGACGATGGAAATGTTGTTTACTCAAACTCACTTTAATACAAAAGTTTATAATATATGTTCGTTTGGGGGAAAAATTGCTTCGGAAAAATTCCCATCGTCGTGAACGCCTTCTTTACAATGTTGTTTAGAAAAAAAGTTCAGGATATAATCGATCGTGTTCAAACATGGTAAGATACTAATCAGTGGGCCCTTTTTTGCTTGACCTAATCATAAGAACTTTTTTCATAAAATTGGAATTTTTGAGCCTTAAAATTTTACCCGGTAAAAAGGAACTAGATATTAGTGTGGGAAACGTTGATCTTACAGCATTGTAAAACCGGTCAACGTTTTCACTTAAAAACGGCGTAAGAAACAAAAATTGGGATCTTATCGAAAATCTAAAAAAAAAAAAAAAAACCCCTCCAGCGTTGCTATTACACACCATTAGTAACTATACTACAAAGTGACCATGGGTATTTATATTTTTCTTTATAAAAAACCGGCGATAATTTCCTTATTAACAATCACTGTTTATCGGGAAGGTGTTCAGCCCGACTCATGGTCACTTGTGACGATGATATTTTCGAGTTCCACGTTGGGCTTGCTTGGATCGTCCCCGGAATGGTGCATCTCAATCAAACCGATGTAAGCGAGTGCACCCAGAACTGCTCCTAAGAAACATCCCACGATTGGCACCCAGAACCAATGGTTGCCCGCGCTGCAAGACATACAAAAAATTATCATTATCAAGAAATGTTTTGGTCGGTTGGTAATTCCTTTCTAGCATTCGGAACCTTACAAATAAGGCATAATCTGTCAAGATGCGTGAGATGAAAAAGCTAAGGGTTTGTTTAAAGCATTTATTCATAGAGTTAAGCCTCTGAGGCTGGGTGGATGTAATACTCACGTGAACACTTCAGTGCCCCAGCCAGCCATAGCTGTAAACAGTCTCGGACCCAGATCTCTGGCAGGATTAATGGCATAGCCGCAGTTGTATCCAAATGTAGCACCAATGACGAACACGGTCAAACCAATTAAGACAGGCGCTGCTCCCTTGTCAGGGCTGTTATTGTTCTTATCAATGATGGCAAATACACAGCCAACGAGCAGGGCGGTGCCGAACACCTAAAGACAACATAGAGTTGTGTTAGTGACGCAATGCTGACTTAAACTGACCATATTGTTTCGTCTGGCTTTGTATGTCCATCTATGTTCGCGGGTTTCGTGTTTTCAAGATGTCAGTCTATCCACTTCTTTTTTCAATTTCCGTGTCTTCCAGTACCTGGCTTTCTTCTCGTTTACTTTTTCTTACTTTTTATTTTTCTTCCTGTCTATCCATCTTTTCATCTACCTGTCCTTTTGATCTTCCTCTGGATATTTCTGGCTGTAGGTCTTAGCTTTCGTTTCTTGTAATCGGTAAAATGGTGGAATTACTGCATAACGTTTGTATCTGTCTTATCTATTGTAATTATATATAGATATAGCTCTTTGGCTCACAAAGCTCTGCTTTCATGTCCAAATTGAGCACTGTGGGGTGAGTCATTGCCGCTAGCATTGCGCATAGCTCACTAGGCTTTCCTAGTTTGAGCACTCTGCCATGGCTTAGACGATACCACAAATGTGGGATCGTTTGGGGTAATCATCTCGGTTCTCCGCATCCTAGCTTCAGCACTGCACTGATGAGGCCCAGAAGACGGAAACGGTACTGTCTGCAGTTATATATATATATTTTAACAATAAGGGGGCCAATTCCCATCCATTCGTAAACAGGTTTTCTTTTCGTTCTTGTGCTCCCTATCTAGTCCGACTGTCTGCTTTTCATTCTGTTTGACTCTCAAACGAGGTCATCTGGAGTTATTAAGCATGGCAACCAAATGTTTCCACCCAGTTTACCTGGTCTCCAAAGCCGTTCCCAGTTGACAAATAATCCTGAGGATATGTAGCCCAGATCCCTGCGGTTCCTTTGTCACCCACTACCTGACGGACACCTCCATCAAATTTATTTAAGGCATCTACAAAATGAGACACAAGACACATACTTCAATTCATGAGAACCTTGGGGAGACAAAGTCAGCATACAGAAGCAACTAGTCGTACGACTGGTAAAAGTAAGTTATCAAGTTTTTCCTTTATCGGTACGAAATAATGCACACGGCAACCCAAAGATAGGAAAGTCAGATAATTTACTTATGAGTACAGAGGTACAGCTAAGATCTGGAAACCTGACCTGTTCAAAGACAAAGAAAAATCAAAATAGTTGCCTTGTTTATGGTCAAGACCGTATAATTTGAGACCCTTTTTCGTTAAAAATAAATAAAAAAAATTCAGTTGATATAAACTTTAATTATTTTAGAAATGCAAGGTTTGAAACAAACATTGCCTAGGAAAATATTAGTTTTGTTTTAAGACTACTGAAGATCCGGCACTGTTTTCGTAATCAGTAGGTGAGTTTTCAAGTAACCCACCATGATAAACACCATAAACACAAGCCGAAGCAACGAAAGCTCCCAACATCTGTGCCGCCCAATATACAGGAACCTTCTTCCACGGAAATCGCCTGACGACGGCAAAGGCCAATGTGACCGCAGGGTTCATGTGAGCACCTAAAAATATAATCAGTAATAATCATTTTAGTATCAGTAACCACTTGAATGGACCTGAAATTATAAGATTTGCACCTGAAAAGATTATGCTACGGCAGAAAGCTTTGCGCAGTAAACAGTTTCAATTGAAAGTAAGACAATTAACACGGCTGCGAAGACTTCACTTCAAAGGCAAGATTATTGCCAATAAATTCAGGACTTTTGATGCAAAGCTACTTTTTGGTTTAGTTTTTCATGAAAATACAACATAAGCTACGACAAAGTTTTAATCCAGATTCTAACTATAGTTAATCGGATTCTCAGCAATCTTGCCTCGCGTTCCATCATGTACCATGTCCCACGAGAGTAAACTTCATAAATGGGTTATGAGATTGTCAAAATCCAATTATCTTATACATTTACCTCTTTAGCTAAAGAAGACGTGATAATTCTGCCATCGTAAATGAAATTCCTTGTATAATTATTATAAACCCTGGAATAACCGATTAGTAAGCTGGAAAAACGCCAAAGAAAAGGAAGAAAGAGAAATGGGCGAACCATCACTTATACAAAAAGCTAACAAAGGAAACCACAACCATTGTAATCAGATTTTTTCTTGCTTCAGATATTTACTACTATCAAGGCGCTTTTATTTTCACAACTGACCGGAAATGCCACCAGCCCAGTAACAGCCGAGCGTAACACCAATTCCCCAGCTGAAGTTGACGGAGAAGAAATTTCCAAACTTCCAGTCGCTGAGGACCATTTGAGCCACTGACGCTACTCCAAATGTCTGCATGTAGAAAAAATTCCATGAACTAAAGTTTTCTCATTTCCAATGCAAAAACATCATGCAACATCATGATTACAAAGAGAGCACTTGTGGGTATCAGTTGGAAATCTACTCGCTCACTCACCAGCAAAATGAAGGTAGAAGCGAACTCAGCTGCAGCTTCTCTCATCAGCTGCCGAGGCAAACGGAAACGAACAGCCATGGTGACAACTCAGAGATCACGCTGCAGACAACAAAAATCAAATTAAATATGCATCTGAATTCGTGCCGGCAGATTTGGTAGAACAGCCCTTCCTTCGCAAGTAAACAGTTGCGCTATTATGAAAGGGGAAACTTTTAAACCACAAAAGAGTGAGAAGAAGGTCTCAAACACCTATTTATTTAATTCTGTTTGCTTTCCTAAAAGCGGAAAAGCTTTGACTTCATGTAATGACAAACATCAGCGCACCAACAAGTAGACAGCTAATAGACGACGTTCACAATAGAAGGCATCAGTTTGTATCTATTTGGTATCCTAAGGGACAAACAGCAAACTAAAGTCATTCGTTAAATTCTAACGACTTTGAATTCCGCCCCCTTCACGCCCAGAGAACGGATTCACTGTAGCGTGCTGCGATTATGTTTACAACAGGAGCCATATTGTTTACCGATCGACCATCGACCAATTAGTTGTCTCTGTACTGAACAACCAGAACTGATGTAAAAATGACCCCACCTCGCTAACAACTCTCTGGTTCTGCTTTGAAAATTAACAGTCCGAGCGTCAAATTTACGGCTTTTGTGTTTGAGAACTTTGGTGGTCGTATTTATATCAATTTACTTAGTGATATAATATCCATGAATAAGACTGATGGGGATAAAAACAGATTATAGTTATTGACAATGCTCTATGGCCAAATAATATGAGTATCTCGCATGAACCTTCCTTTATCTCCATACGAACGTTGAATCTAAATAATAACTTTGAAATGCTTTTGCATTCCACAAGGCAGCCTTTAAGTAAATAAAGCAAGTCTATCTATTTGCCACGTTCTGTAATTAATGGTTTGGCAAATGATATTGAACAAAATCTGCGACCAAGGCCGAGGGTCGAATAACCTTCTTTACGGCAAAGTCCGTCGCGCGAGTCTAATTTTTATCTCAATTAGGCGTAACCAAGGAGATTCGTACCAGTGAATCTTCATATCATCGTAACACGCGAGTAATCTCAGAAAATTAAACCATTTCAAATTTCGAGGCGCACAATAAACTGTAACATGTTTCAGTAAGCATGATGCTCGCGAACAAAACTCCCAATTGGGAAGGGAGGCCGGTCAAGGAACCAAAGCGGAACAACTTTTGCTGTGTGTGTGCGTGTGCTTTAATTTTTTCTTCAGAGATATAGCATTCATGCAAGGTCTTCGTCCTCTTCTGATAACTGAACTGGTGAAAGGCCAAGTTCACTGAGTTTACCGCCTTGTTCCACCACGATGCTGTTAAGCGGTGAAATTGCAAGGACACAGGGAATTTTGCGAAACAGAACACCTGTTACACAACGCTCTTTCTGAAGTCGGTTGGCAAAGATTGCCAGCAATAAAAGCCTCTAGCACCTCGGTTCCTCTGATTTCAGCGAACAAATTATCGGAAACTGTAATAATCATTCCTGCAAGTCATCAGCCATCTGATGAAGCGTCAACAGGTGTTGACACGTATGACAGCGTGTTGAAAGATTTCCGGCCGATAGCCAACAATATTTTTGCGTTGTGCGCGCAACGCATAATTCAAACTCTTGAGCTTACTTCTTTGATCCGTAGTCCCTACTTTTTGAGCGCCTCACTCACGGAGCTACCGCGGCGCATCGAAGTCCGTTTAAGAGTTTCCCGCTGCGCGCTAACATCAGTGTTTTTTCACTAATGGTTTTTTTTTTTACTCGCGCGAGGGACTTAGCCCGAAAAGAAAGGACTGTAATCGTATTTTAAGGGTAGAAAGAAAAGAAATCAGAAGTACTCTCCACTTGGTTTGAGGTTTGGAAAGCAAGTTGAAAAGAGTAAAAGCTGACTTACAGACGCAGTGGAGCTGAGTTCTAAGTGTGAGCATTCTACCCCTAACTCTGCCTCAGTTTTATAAATTGCGAAGAATAAATAAAGTTTCTATTCCATCCGTGTGTATATTTAAAAGGATTAACCTGTGTAGTACGCCTAACCGACACATAAATTACAAAAAGGAAATTGGAAAATCTAGTCGAAATTTTATTCTCAGCCTCAACCCCACAAGTGAGCGTCGATGGTTAACGTGATGGCTTCGCGATCAAATGAGCACTTGGTAAACTTCTTCGTTTTGGTGTTCTTGCCGTTGATAATTATTAACTTCGTAACCTAGGAACAGGTCTCATAATGCTTTGTTCCATGTTTATATCCTGATAGATGATCTGCAATAGGCAGGTTTCGGAGCTTTCAATTGTAAATATCCCATCACATAAAGCTTTGCAAATGTCAAGCGAAGAAAAAAAAAAAACCTTGTTGGGTGTGCGCCATCAAGAATGTGGAAATACCCCAAGGCGCTGAGTGTATACTTCAAGTCACGCAAACCGATAAACTTTGAACAAATACAAAGGGAGCAAAATGGTAAAAACATCAGTTAGAAATCGATGATAAATTGCAATCTATGACACTTTTCGAGTGGGTGGCGTCGGCTTGTTTCAAAATTCTATTTCGTGTCGATTTGTTACGCAACTTCTAAGCCGTATAAGCTTATTAACAACGCTGAACAACAACTGTGGAATGCACGTTCTCAGTAATCAGTAAAACCGTATTACTTTGAGATACTTTCAAAGCTCTTTTTTGTTTTTGTCTTCATGATATGGCAAAAAGAAAATATCTGACTTAATAAATTGTGGTTAGCTGATGGCTTTGACTAAATTTAGTAGTTCTACGGTTACCCAGATCCGGCAATGAGCTTACTAAAAGATTTTAGTCTTCTGTGTTGACCTCAGTCCAGCCTTCTTTACGTAATACCTTCGGTGTCTTGACTATTTTTAAATTCTTGTACAGACTGAAACGTTTCCCACGATCATTACCTTTAATTTAGTACGGTTTTTACCTTTAAAAAGCGTACGCGGGTCGTTCTTCTGTCGAGCAACCACACAATCCCGAAGTCTTTCGATCTAATTTACCAGCTCCTTCAATTTATTCGTGTTTGAATGTAAATGTTTATTTAAGCCTTAATGTTTATTAGCTTTGTTAGCACGGCTTTGTCCGGCTTTTTCGCCTAACATCTGACATAATTTTGCATTGAACCTGGGATTTTAATGGTCTGCGGCTTGGACTCCAGGACATTGTACAATCAAATTTTTTGACATCAAAAGTTGCTTTTTGATTAAAGTGAACAAATTTAAAACGTAACGTAACATTTGGTTAGTTTCAAAGACATCCAAGAAAGGGTTAGCTAGTGAGATTGCGCACATACCTTTCATAGCCATGAAATACTAAGCAATTTGTGGTTTTGAAGGAAGTCTTTTTGCTTTCAAGACGAGTGGGTTGGCAGGATTTCTTTAAACTGATCGGCTCCATTTCAAATCCTATGTACGCCCCTATCAGTTTCAACAAGACCTCTGCGAAGTTTTTCATGCGCAGCATGGTCAGTTTCTTTATTAGAGATAATATTTTAGACTCTTGCACGGAACATGTAAGGATTCGACTGTGTTCGCATGTTTCACTTAAGATATGTAATAAAAAGATCACAATTGACATCAATAAGCATCCGTGACTAGGGAAGGTAGAATTTTGTTAAAGAGAAAAGTTGAAGAAAAAGAAAAGTTGCTCAATCCCTGATATGCTTTAAAAACCAGCTTTTGCTCTAAGCTTGATCGCCGTGTTTCTCAGCTAATTGTTTGAATTCCTTACCAGCGTATTTGCAATATCATTGCTTAATTCGTTCTGATGAGTAAGAGCAGATGTTTCGACGTTTTTGGCAAGTTTCCGTAGCCCTTTACAACCTAACATCAGTATGCATATTCTCCATACTGTTCTCTACACATTTCCTAAGGTGCTGAGGGGAGAATTTGCCTAACAATCAAGGGCTTCCTTAGTTGGTGATCATTTCCTTTATTCTCGTGACCTTAATGTGTGATTCAGGGCTGTGATTATAAGGAGAAATTAGATACTAATCTCTCTTAGGTGTCAAAGGGTTAATAATCAGATGGAGTTACTGAGTTACTCGGTAAAATGATAAATATAGCAATAAAAGATACACTAAATAACCTAATAACCAAGAACGAAAACAGCTGTAGGTGCGTACTAGGTGTTCCTAATTAGCATTACTCCGTAAATAGATAGCCTGAAAATGATGTAAGTGAAACCACACATCAAATTAAAAAAAAAATCAAGTCTGGCAGCCCAGAGAAGGGAAAGAAATGAGAAAAGAAATGGTGGATAGAAAGGAAACAAAAGCCAAACCATTCAGTCCTACTTTAGATTTTGCCCAATGTTGAGGTTTGTAGAAGCATACATAGTAATTGAGAATAAAAAATGCGAAACACTCTCCCTTCCTCTATATGACAGGCAGAGATGACTGACGTTCTCACGAACGCTTCGATTTGTGTCATTATCTCGTAAATTGAGACCCCCAGCCAAATATAACTTCAATTAATCCTCTACCATGATTTTTATAATTTTTTTCCTCTTTGTATCAATTTTTCGCATTTCAAATAAACACCTGCGTCTATGACAATCGTCAACCTTTCCTTCCACATGCATCTGATACTCCAATTACGCGTTAGCAGGGCATTTTATAAACGGCTTGTTTCTTTTGACCGAATATTAACAGATTGTTCAAAACGTAACATCATTCTGTGAGCGAAGCAGACCGCAACAAACACTTCGAGAAGAAGGCTGGGCTAGCGCTCTACTTGCGATGATGAATAATAAATCTAAAAAGCAGGAATGTAGGAACCTGACCAGTCCTCGTCTAAACGTTATCATTTCAGCTTACACATTCAGGTAGAAAAAACTAGAACTAAGTCAGTGCTGCCTGGAAAATTAGAGGAAATAAAGTACAAAAAAATCATTACGTACATTTCCATGCAAACATCTCCCAGGCTCGACGGTCGTGGCACTCCATGGCACCGCGCAGCGGAGAATAATCTAAATCCTAGAGTGAGCGCTGTAATTCAACCCATGGGATACGAATTGACTAGCTATTCAAATTCTTTATCACAGCATAATTGTTTTTAGCTGTTGAATGAAATGTCTGGCTAAGCACACTTACATCATGTCCCATCTCGAACATAGTTCAAGTCAAGAACAATCTTTAAATTTGCCTTAAGACCGCGGTTCCACGATTTCCCTTCAGGCAATTGGGACCGGCAAAAGCTTTTAATTCTTTGTGGAGTTTACTTTAACAATATGATGAGAGCAATCCTTGCCTCTTTCTACGTAAAGATAAGATCAGATGCTGTTGGCACTCATTCATGAAAGCAAATAGTAAACGCCTTCCTTATAAAACAAGCATTTTTGTCGGATTTGCTCATGAATTGCTTCCAGTTTTTTTTTTTTTTTTTTATTTCATTTACTTTTAGAAAGAAACATAAGAATTGAGTTGCGCGAACACAGGAAAAAAAATGCTCGTTCAAAGAGACTATTGTGCATGAAATATCGTCAAGGGTCCAACGCGATGTCTGTTTAAAAGATTGAGGATTCGGACCTTTGAGTGGAACTTCGTCGGCCGAAACGTCAACGCTGTTACCTCCCGGGGAGGTAAAATGACTTGGCGTGACTCAGGCATATCACAGACAATCGATGTCATCGCAACACACATGCACGCAGATGTAAGATGATCAGGAAATCATGACCACGCTTACACAGAGGGCATGCTGCGGAGTTCGTCTGGGTATTCCCTTCAACTCTTATTGCAACTGCTAAGTATTACATTATAGAAAAACTGAATCTTTCCAGGGAGCGAAAGGTTTCATAGGTTCATTTACAACGCCGCAAATTGGATACGGAAAAAAAACCCTTGGTGCTACCTTACAACGCAAGATTTCCAATAAACACCAAAACTAAAATAAAGTTTTGAGCGTGCTTTTCGATACAAAATCAATGCAACTGCAACTTCGCTAAAAGGCCACGAATATGAATTTCAAATATGTGCCTCACATCTCTACTTGTGCGTGCTCATATGAGAACGTGCACCACGGTGGCGATGACGTTTTTTAGAGACGTTATGCAATTGTATGAACTGAAACTTTATACTTCAACTGCACCTTTGTTTCAAAGCTAACTTAGCCAAGAATACCCCATGCAACCTTGCTCGCAAAAAGACTGACTCTGCTTTCGCCAAAGTGGGAAAACCAAGTTGCGATTTACTAGTACAAAATCATACAGCACGGGGGCTAGAGATTAAAGTGGGAGTGAGTGAGACAAAAGATACCATTCTGGGAAAAACAAATTTATCTGCAAATTTATGTAGGAGGATTGGTCTAGCTAACAGCTGCCCTTGCCGCCTGACGCTAAAATTTCAGAATGTTTGTCTCGCATGCAAAATAGAAAACATGCTGCGTCCCACATATTTATGAGTACCCTGTTCCACGAGAGAAATATGATTCCAGAATATACTGTCTAATTGACATTCACTGACCAATAATTAAATGGTAACAAATATAATAATAATATTTACAATGATAATAATGATAACAATGATGATATAATCATAATTTAGTGGGACTAGCTCGCCGGAAAGCCTCAGGGTTCCCCTTATCCTCTGGCCTCCAACAATTAACTTATACATCTTTTAATTTCACTTGTTAATTGGAAATAACTTTTTTCTTATTTCATTGCAATTCCAATTTTTTGAGACTTTTGTTTTAGGATATTCCATCATTCTGTGTCTAAAGATATTCCGCCGATCCACCGATCCACCGTTCCTCCATACCATCGATTCTTTTGAATAACTCAAGGCATCGTATTTCGCAGCTTGCTCGCTTCGCAAATTTAGCGCCTTCTGGTAAAATTAGACTTAGTCGCTGATTCAAACAGTAAAATGCTCCCTTCTCAAAGAAAAAAAATTCCTCAAAACTTACATGATGTGCAGATCACATCTAAAGAGATATTTCTGCGAGAAAAAGTTTCAATTTCAATCATGCGTCGCTGGATACCACTCGTCTGTTGTAGTGTCACGTACGGCAACTGAGAACTGAAAAGATTATATCGTCGAATCTACATGATTTCTGTTTAAAACGGGAAAACTCTCTCTTTTTCTGCTAAGTTTTATGCTTAGTTTGATACACCGCTCATACTTCTGCAAGAAAAACTTCTGTTTTCAATCGCACCTAATCCAGAAATGTTGTGCTTCTCGCTTTCTGCTGTCTTCCATACTGTCACGACGAGAACTGATAACACAATGTGCTGGTGGCTATAATCAGGAAATCACAACTGAAAGGAGAACTCAATTCTGTGCGAATTTCGAACTCCGAAAAAACAGCAAGTAGCACCGAGAAATATTGGGTCAAACTTGGATTCAAGATCACCGAAGTTCTATTTTTGTACTCCGTCATTAACTCACACACTCACTCACACACTCACTCATTTACTCCCTCGTCGCGAAAACATATGTGGCTTCGCCTCCTGAAGGAGACAATAGCCCCAAAAAGAGAGAAAAGGAGCAAAAAAATACATCGCGGTGTACGGTCTGTACGTTCTCCTGAAGTTTACCCCTGATGTCGCATCATTGAAAAGGGAATAGTTTTAGTCACCATGACAAACGTGCATGTCCTACGTAACTTTCAGCGATGTAGTCTACACATCTTTAGTGGGAAAATTTCGTGATGCACAGTACTTACGATACTACAAGACAGGATAGCTATCCGAAAACCATATGCGATGTTCTTGCTCTGCCCGACTTCGGGGCAGGTTTGACCTTGTCGTCTTACATAATCATTAGGCCTACACATTTACAACAACAAATAACCATTGTGCAATTGGCGGGGCAAGGAGTAGGGAATGGGGATAGCTTAGTCATATTTTTCTTTGGAAACCTTCCACCAGATAGGGTGTGCTAACTTATCTAGATTGTGTCTGAAGCAGTTTTGTATGAGGAACCTTGACTTGGTTTCAAGCTTTTTCAGGATATCTCTTCATCTAAAATGGATCCTCCATAGACTGAGGTTCCCCTCTGTGAATCTCAGTCAAGTAAAGATATTTGGTCTTTGCACGCATAACGAATAATACCCAAAATTCTTTCACGTTCGCACGAAATTCGAGGCATTTTTAGCGACAGAAGATGACGTAATGTCTCATCTAATTTGTTCAAAAAGTATTAGTGGTCTGTTTTATGCCTTTCATCGATCCATAGCAGGTCCATCTCCTGTCAAAACCCTGGTCAAAACCTAACCACAGCCGTTCGTGAACGATGCGTACATTTCCAAAACAATAATGTAGCTGGAAATTCATCACGTAAAACAAAATGGTTCACGAATAACGTTCTGAATTTAGCACTTAATTCACGGGTCACGTCTAAATAAAAAAATTCGTTCACGTGGACGTGTAAACATCTTAACATCTTTAGAAGGGGGGCATTGGGGTCGAGTTTGACTAATGGTCGTGGGTCGTGGGTCGTGGGTACAAGTCGTGGGTCGTGGGTGTGGGTGTGGGTGTGGGTAAAAGTCGTGGGTGTGGTTAATACTTAATAATAAAAATAACCATTTAAAATATTAAATATAATAATACATAAATTTTATACAACCCTGTCATTCATTAATTTAACTGTTCTTTCTTCTAGTTATTTTATTTTGTTTATTCAATTTACCCTACTTTACGTCTATTTTTATCTGTTATCTCACTGTCAATGAAATTAGTTTCAGTTTCGCGACG